GGTCAATGTATTGACTTTATCGCAATGAATGAGCTTTTGAGTGCCCACTTCATCGCGGAATTGATTGCAATCGAACTCAATCTTATGGTAGAGACTCTCTTCCTCTTTGGTGAGGGGCGCGACGTCGGCCATAACTCCGGGAATTAATATCTTTCCCCTGTTATCAACCAATTTGGACATCAGAAGCACCAAATCAGTCATCGCCTCGTGAACGGAACCGCCGTAAACGCCTGAATGCAAGTCTTTGACCGCTCCTTCAATCTCCACATAGAAGTACGCCAGACCTCGAAGACCGTATGTCAGACATGGTTTCGATGTTCCCAACCAATAGTTATCACTAATGCAGACAAAGTCCACATTCTTCAGAAAACCTTTGGCCTCAGCTATGATCACCTCATCGAGTCCTTCAGAACCCGATTCTTCCATTCCTTCGAAGACGAACTGCAATTCAATTCATAAAAATACATAATTTATAGTTTCGATGACAAGTGGATCTAATTATTTATTAACATAAATTATTATTTGTAAATTGATTCAAATATTATGCAATGTTATGAGACATGAGATTTTAATTTGTATTTGTATTCCTTAGTTATGTGTAGAATATATGCATTTCATTGAAACACTAGTCATAAAATAAATACTATAATTAAACAAACAATTAATGCTATCATTTAATGTAATTTATATAATTTGAGAAATGTTTTCCGTGTTTATCATCATTACAAGCAAATATTAAATATTGTTTATTGTTTAATAGTTTCGCTATTATTGCCAATTAATAGTAATAAATATTAACTATCAGTGATTCTTATTTAATATACTTTTAAAAATATTTTTATTTAAAAATTCATGTCAATTGCAAAGCTATAAGTTATATAATTCACGACATTTAACACCAGTTATCAAATACTATTAATAATAGAGTTTTAGATAACTATTTCAATGCATAACATTTAGACATAACATTAAAAATAATTATTTCAAATATAAAACTGATAATAAATGATAAGAATTAACATTTAATACACTTTTTATATAAATTATATAATGAAAAGCATTCAAACAAACCTTGAAATTGACGGGGATTTCAATTTTCAATTTATGAAAGGCTTGAATGACGTGAAGCCACCCGAGAACCGGTCCCTTATCATCGGTAGAGCCCCTGCCGTACAGTTTGCCGTCCTTTTCAGTCAACACAAAGGGCTCGGTATCCCATCCGTCCTCTTTGGCCGCCGGCTGTACGTCGAGGTGTCCGTAAACACAGAGCGTCTTCTTCTTCGCATCGGAGCCCAACTCAGCCAACAATACGGGCGGAAGAGGCAGTTCTTTGCCGTCCGGCAACTTCTGCTTCCCGATGTCCACTAACCGGCATTTGCAGCCCTCGGCAGCCAATTGCTGTCCCAATCAAATCCAATCACGGAATGGCAAATCAATATCAATCATTTGTTCCCATATATGTGTCCAATGTATACAAACCTTTTCCATCCACTTAACCATCGCAATCGTGTCGCCCCTCGTGTCCGACTGCGCCGACACACTCTTAATGGCCACACAATCCTTCAAATTCTTCACGTATTCGCCCGCATGAGAGTCGATGAAACTGTTGTTGGGATTAAATTAAGTAATCATTGAATGAATACGTCAGGGATGTGATGGATGTGATGCACACTCAATACATACTCAAACACTTGTTTCAATGGATTGGCCGACATATTGGTGACGATTGGATCAATTGATGACAAGAGTTGTCTAATGTGTGCAAAAATGCCTCACTTTTTGTGCACTTCTCTCACATTTAAAGCTGTTTTTAAGCCCTAAACGCCTTCACGTCGTTATGGAAACCGTTTATAACACAAACCCATTCATTAATACTGTTTGCAAATCAACCATCAATTTAATTGTAACCATTGGTCTTAAAACCATACCCTCCCGGGGGTTAGACACGTGTTTTGTTCATTCATTCAATTAAAACATATGGATGTGATTGACAGACATTTTTATTATTTTATCGCAAATTAGTTGCAATCGTTTAAAACAATTCAAATAGTAATGAAAATCTAATTTTAAAACTATTTTTCTATGACATATAAATGGAAATACAGTATAAATCGACTTTAATTTATTAAACTCATAATTAATGCTAACATTCAGTTACAAATGTATAAAATAAATGACTGCATTAAATACGCGACAATTCAACGCTAAAACTCTTCGTTGGCCCGACTTTGTGGCCGTTGTCTATAAGTCTGTTGAACGCCGGGGTTTCGAAAACCTCTTTGTCGTTCAAACTGTTGCCTCTGTCCATCTCTGGGCGGGAGGTCTGTCCTCAGTGTTACCGGACTTAACAGCAAATCACTCAATGAAGTGGTCGTTATGTGATTGCCGTCGACGAGACCGCTCTCGATCTGCTGGAACTCTGTCACCACATTCTGATCGTTAGATTCGCTCATTTTCGACTTAATTCGGTTCATCTAAAGAGCAACACAAACACAAAAAGCAGTTATAATTGAGTAATAATATGTTGCGCCAAATGGACGGACCGTTTCGTCGAGAATCTGTCCGGTCGTGGCCTTCAATGAGGGAACGTCTCGATTGAGTAACACTTTTAGTGTAATGAAGAGATCGTCAAATCGGTTCAAATCCGAGAGAGCCATAAGTCTTAAGTTTCTGACAGTAATGTAATTGGTTTGCGTCAAGAGTGACATAATCTCGAGCGCAGTGTTCGGCTGATTCTGGTTTAAAGCCAAAGAGGCGAACAAACAGATCGTTTTTCTCGAGACCACAGCTCCGGCCTCTCGAGCCTTTCGCAGCACTTCTAACGCCTCGTCAAACACTTCCGGCGTATTCTGGGTTTGGTTTGAATACAAAGTCATATCAATACATATTTGATGACAATTAATGTAAATATAATTACAATCTTATAGACAGACGCCATGTATAAGAGGAGGCAATCGCGCGGGTATTTGGTCTCGAAGTGGTTCTCGGTTTGGATGTATTTGAAGACTTCGGCGCACTCTTCGTATTTACCATTAATGAACAGTAAATTCATTAAAATGACTGTCGTTTTGATTTGACTAAAAAATCCCTTCAATTCCTACAAAAACATTGATTGAATTTAAAGTAAATTTTATAACAAATACTGGATTTGAAAATTTCAATAATAATTACGGGATCTTTAAAGAGTTGAAGAGCTAATTGCCATTCAGACAAGTGGTGCAAAAGCCTGAAAACAATTGGTCCAAAAACAAATGTCCCGAATTGTAGCGATTGGTTCTGTGTGTGAAACCTAACCCACGCGTGAAGACAATCAGACCATTAATGTTAAAAAACCGTAAATGAGTTAAAACTAATCCAAAATCACTCACTTCTTGATGGCATCGCTCATCAGTTTTAACTCGTGTTCATTACTTTCGGACAAAAAGATAACATTCTTGAGGTCTTCGGTGAACACCATTTTGTTGTCATTTGTGGTGAACTCTTCCATTCGGGCGAAGA